AGCAGCAGCACCGGCTACAGCAGCAGCAGCAGCAGCAGCAGCAGCAGTTATAAGAGAGAGATAAAACTCACAGCAGCAGCATCTTCTATCTGCTGTTTGTTATTTTTTATTTGCTGCTGCGTCTCTTCGAGTGTCTGCTGCAGCTCTGCTGCAGCAGCAGCTGTTTTGTCTAGCTGCTGCTGCAGCTGCTGCTGCTGTCTCTTCTCTTTTTCTCTCTCTCTTTCTTTTGCTTCTAGCTTCTCCCGCAACACCTTCAGCTGCTCCTGCACACCAAACCCTAAACCCTAAACCCTAAACCCTAAACCCTAATATCCAAGATGCCCCCCACAAAACCCTAAACCCTTGACCCTCTATTCTACATCCTTATTAACCATAAACCCTAAACCCTAAACCGTAAACCCTAAACCCTAAACCCGAATTCTAGCGTTAAAAAGAGAAACAATTGGCAGCATATCCTGCTGCTGTATATATATTACTGAGTGTTTATGTTCTACATTTTAATATTTAGGGTTTAGGGTTTAGGGTTTAGGGTTTAGTTAGGGTTTAGGGTTTAGGGTTTAGGGTTTAGTTAGGGTTTAGGGTTTAGGGTTTAGGGTTTAGTGAGGGTTTAGGGTTTAGGGTTTACGTGGTTAAAGAGGGTGTTTGTGTGTGTGTTGTGGTTTATAAGAGACAAACGAGCATCCTCAGCAGCAGCAGCAGCAACGGAGACAGCTGTCTGCTGCTGTGTCTCCTTCTCCTCGCAGCACTATAAAAAAAAAAACAGAGGGAGACAGAGAGAAAAGAAATATAAAATAAATATTAAAAATATATAAATTAAATAGAAAGGAGATAGAAAAGAGATAGAAAGGAGACAGAAAGGAGACAAAAAGGAGACAGAAAGGAGACAGAAAAGAGATAGAAAGGAGACAGAAAGGAGACAAAAAGGAGACAGAAAAGAGATAGAGAAGAGACAGAAAAGAGGTACAGAGGAGACAGAAGGGAGATAGAAAGGATATAGAAAAGAGGTAGAGAAGAGACAGAAAGGAGACAAAAAGGAGACAGAAAGGAGACAGAAAGAAAGGAGACAAAAAGGAGACAGAAAGGAGACAGAATAGAGACACAGAAAAGATAAAAAGAAGAGAGCAGAGAGATAGAGAGGAGACAGAAAGAGACAGAGAGAGACAGAGAGAGACAAAAGGAGACAAAAAGAGACAGAGAGAGAGACAGAGAGAGACAGAGAGAGACAAAAGGAGACAGATAGAGACAGACAGAGACAGAGAGAGACAGAGAGAGACAGAGAGAGACAGAGAGAGACAAAAGGAGACAAAAAGGAAGAGAAGAGGAGACATATAGAAACCAGAACGAAGAAGGAGACAAAGAGACAGAAAGGAGACAGAGACAGACAGAGACAGAGACAGAGAAGAGACAAAGATAGCAGCAGCAGCAGCAGCAGCAGCAGAACCACAGCAGCAGCAGCAGCAGCAGCAGCAGCAGCAGCAGCAGAGGCAGGGTTTAGTTTACGCGTAGTTCTTCAGCTGCTGCTGATTCTGCAGCTTTAGCAGCAGCAGCAGCAGCAGCAGCAGTTTCTAGTTTTTTTCTCGCAGCAGCATCTGTCTCTCTCTTCTGCTGCAGCAGCTGCTGCTCTGTCTCCATCTCCTGCTGCAGCTCCTTCTCTAGTGCTGCTGCTCTTGCTGCTGTATCTGGTCCTGCTTTTGCCTTCTCAGCAGCAGCAGCAGCAGCAGCCTTTGCTGCTGCTGCAGCAGCAGCAGCAGCATCTACCGTTGTTCTCCCTCCTCCTGCTGCTATCCCTGCTGCTGCTGTCCCTGCTGCTGCTGTCCCTGCTGCTGCTGCTGCTGCTGCTGCAGCAGCAGCATCAGCAGAGAGCAGCCGCACAACACCCCTTGCCTGTCTCCCCCCCCGCGCTGTCGGCAGTCCCTCTGTCCCTCTCCCCTGTCTCCTCAGATGCACAGCTTCTCTCCATCCGTACCCTTCACGCAGCCCCCTGCGGGGGCCCCCTGGGGGGCCCCCCTGGGGGCCCCCAGGGGGGCCCCTTGGGGGGCCCCCAGGGGGCCCGTGCAGCAATGCATGCAACTGACGGCTGTCTTCTGCTATCGCCACGCGCTCTATCGAAGCCACATCCACCAAGAAATGTACTGCTGCCTGGCAGCAGCAGCAGCAGCAGCAGCAGCAGCAGCAACAGCAGCAGTAGCAGCAGCAGCAGCAGCAGGTGCAGATGCAATAGATGCACAGATGTAGAAGCAGCAAGAGAGGAACATGCAGCAGCAGTTTGTATGAAGGCAAACAACGGCAGCAGCAAAGGCCCAACAGCAGCAGCAACAGCCGAAGCAGAAGCAGCAGCAGCAGCAGCAGCAGCAGCAGCACGGGGAGTGTCTGTCGAATCCCCTTCCTCAGAAAGGCGTACACCAGCAGCAGCAAGAGCAGCAGCAGCAGCAGCAGCAGCAGCAGCAGCAGGAGGGTTGGTGGGGTTGTTGTTATTCCTATGCTCACCAGGGGCATGCAATTGCGTGTGTTTGTGCTGCATGCGTTTTGCTGCTGCGCAGTATCAGCTGCTGCAGGCTCTTCTTTTCTAAGAGCTTTGTACAGTGTACATACACCCGGGGGGATACCCAGAGCAGCATCCGTGAGTCTGGGGGCGTAGGGGGAGCAGCAGAAGGTGACAGCAGCAGCACGAGGGGGCAATCTGTGCTGCAGCAGCAGCTGCAGCAGCAGCTTTTGTTCAGCTAAAGAACTAACTAAGAAAGTATGTATATGAGGCCGCAGATGCTCCTCCGCTATTGCTGCTGCTGCTGCTGCTGGTACTCCTGCTGCTGCGCATGCATCCTCATCTATATACAGCAGCTCACCTAGGGGCCCCACAGGTAAGCGAGAGAACTGCTGCTGCAGCAGCAACCCCTCAACAGCAGCAAACAAACCAGCAGCATCTGGGGGCCCCCCCCCCTGCATGCTGGGCTGTACATACAGCCCAATGCGTTTGGTGATAGACTCCCTGATCTGCTGCAGCTGCTGCAGTTGCTGCTGCTGCTGCTGCTGCTGCTGCTGCTGCTGCTGTTGGTGGTGGTGGTGTTTTTGC